AAAAAAACTAAGACACAAGCACGCACATTAGCCTAGGCCTATACAGGGTAAGGATTATCAATATCACTGTCCTACCCACCTCCATATCTTGTCCCACTGGGAGGTCTACCATGTCATTGTAGTGTCAATGTCAATGTCAGTCGGGAGAGGAATTTTTCAGCTCCACTATAATCTTATGAGCCCACCATTGTATATGCAGTCCATCACAGACAAACATGCAGTGGCTGACTGGAGTTACTGGGGTGCTGATGAGGTGGTATAGCTGGGGGTGGTTGGCGGTTTTCCATTTTCTTGGTGGTCTGATATGGGTGTAACTGAGATCCAAGGCTCTGCTTGGTCACAACTGAGAGACCAGGCCCTGGGACGGGAGTGTTGGGGACAATGTTTTGGTGAGAGGGCCCCCGACAGAACAACCAGGGACTAAAAAGTCTGAGAAATGCAACAAAGGTAGTCAGGAGATGATTCAGCAAAGGCAGCAACAGAGATGTTTGAAAGCTGGGAGGAGAGAAGCAGGAAAGGGGGCTGTCAGAGCCAAGGGATGTAGGTAGCTGCACATGAAGCTGAACTAGAGGAAGGCACATTTTCTGGAAGATCCCCTCCCTTCCCCTGAAATCTCTTTATATAGTTCCTAGATTCTCTCCTCAAACAAAGGACCAGTCTTTCCAATAAATCTACAAATGATTTGGCTCCTGTTTTCCAAGGAAATGAATTCCTGTGAAATACTGGACTTAAGTTTCAGATGTCTGTATCACTCCTTATCCCTGTTATAGAGTGAATGAGGGACGCAGCCACAGTTACAGATGTAAAAAGAAGCCAAGTTTATTATAACCGAAGGCCGCAAAACATGGAGGAGGCTCAGTGTGGAGAAAGTCGGCAGTCACATGTCCTTTGACCACTTATGGAATGCATCTCTCTACTCCATTTCATCCAAGTGTCAACATTCTGACTCTCAGTCCTTGCCGCCGTCTTCGCCTTCAGAGAGAGCATAAGGAGTCGGCAGGTTGGCCCGCACGCGGCTCAGGGCCGGGCTGCAGCGGCAGTCTATGGTGGACAGACTTGGTCTTCTGTGTCTGCTGAGGTGGGACTTGAGGCTGACGCCCTGCCCACACGTCTTGCACACATACGGCTTCTCCCCCTTATGTGTCATTTGATGTAAGGTGAGGTGTGACTTTTGTATAAAGCCTTGGCCACACTCTCTGCACACACAAGGCTTCTCTTCTGAGTGAGCTCGCTTGTGTGTGATTAGAATCGACTTATTGCCAAAGCCCAGTCCACACTGCCTGCACATGTAGGGCTTCTCCCGCGAGTGCTTCCGCTTGTGCCTGATGAGACCGGCCTGGTGGCTAAAACCTCGCCCGCACTCCCGGCACACATACGGCTTCTCCCCTGAGTGCGTCCTCTGGTGTGCAACAAGGTTTGACTTCTGGCTGAAGCCTCGCCCGCACTCCCCACACACCATGGGCTTCTCCCCCGAGTGCGTCCTCTGGTGTCTGATGAGGTTGGACTGCTGGCTGAAGCCCCGGCCACAGTCCTTGCACACAATGGGCTTCTCCCCTGAGTGTATGTTCTGGTGTCTGTTGAGGTGGGACTTGAGACTAAAGCCTCGCCCGCACACTCCACACACATACGGCTTCTCCCCGGTGTGCGTCCGCCTGTGAGAGATGAGGGTTGAATTCTGGCTGAAGCTGTGCCCACACACCCCGCACACGTAGGGCTTCTCTTTGGAGTGTGTCCTCTGGTGGTTGACAAGGGTGGTCCTCTGCCTGAAGCAGCGCCCACACTCCTTGCAGGCGTAGGGCTTCTCCCCGGAGTGCGTCCTCTGGTGGGAGATGAGGTTTGACCTGTCACTGAAGCCCAGGCCGCAATCACTGCACACGATGGTCTTCTCCTCTAAGTGTGTCCTCTGGTGTCTCACGACGGCCGACTTCTGGCTGAAGCCTTTGCCGCACTCCCGGCACACGTAAGGCTTTTCCCCCGAGTGTGTCCTCTGGTGTATGATGAGGTTGGACTTCTGGCTGAAGCCTCGCCCACACTCACTGCACATGTAAGGCTTCTCGCCAGAGTGTGTCCGCTCGTGTATGATGAGCGTCGACTTCCGGTTAAAGCCTCGCCCACACTCCCTGCACACAATCGGCTTCTCCCCCGAGTGTGCCTTCTGGTGTCTGGCGAGGCTCTTCTTCAGGCTGAAGCCCTTCTCACACACCCCGCACACGTAGGGCTTCTCCCCTGAGTGTATCCGCTGGTGACTGAGCAGGTTTGTCATCTTGCTGAAGCTCAGTCCACACTCTCCACAGTTGACTGTTCCAAATCCTAAGACTTCTATCCTCTTCAACAATTTGTCTGTTTCCTCAGGGTTCCCCATCTGAGCTGGGCTGGCTTCCAACTCCACCCCTCTGAGGCCGTTCCGAGGGCTGACTGGCTGCCTCTGGGGTGGCCTGGAGAATGCTCCCAGAGTCCTTTTCTTTGTTTTTCCAAATAAGGGCCTGGCACCTTCTCCCTCGGGACCTTCTGGTCGATCACTCCAGGGACTCCCAGCAGAGGTTTGTTGCTGCCTCTCCTGGTCCACTGGGCCTGGATCCCCAGGCTGGATGTGATCTTCTGCACACAAGCATGTGAAGATCCAGGGGGGGTGATTACACAGCACGTGTTGCATGGGGAATTTCTGACCAGAGAAACCCGGAGGGCAGAAAGGATCGAGGTAGAGTTCTGGCTCTGGATCTGCCGCAGAGAGAAAAGTGTGAGTCACAACTGAGTCCTCAGTGGAGTCTGAACAGACTGCTTAGTCAGATCCCCAAGGCTTCAAAACCCTCAAGTGTCATCCAGCCAGGACTTCCTTTACATGGCCTACTCTCCAGCCTACTACTACTTCTTACGTATTCCATTACAATCCAGAAAACCCACTCGTTGAGACCTGTTCTACATATCAACTATACAAGCATCCCTGACATTTTGGGGTGTGTAAATAGGGCCAGTATGGAACACTTCCCCCGCACCTTCAATACAATTAATTACCTTCTAACTCACAACCACCCACACTGACATAAACCATGTCCACAAGTACTTTTTGCTTTGATGGAAAGAGGTCTAACCCTAGGACCCACGTGGAAATGTCCTTCCTTGTTTCCCTATGAGGACAAGGGGATGGGATGGAGAAAGCAGTTATTTGCAGTGAACAGAGAAGCCCTGGTGTAAGGAGGAGTGTGAGAGGGTGGTGAAACAGTGTGACACACCCAAACTCCTGTCTCCCCACTCAACAAAGATTTGTTAGATTACTCTGTGCCAGAATTTCTAGGACGCAGTGGGCTTTCAGCAATGGACATGACAGAGCCCAGGCCCCCAGTGACTTAAAAGATGCTCCCTCCTGGTACCCCTGACCCATTTCCATAATTAGTATAAATAAAATTTTCCCCAAAAATCAGTGTAAAAGAAGAAATTTTTACTTGTAGTACGTCTTGTGTAGGAGATGTCAACACTGAGTATACTGTTTATCACAACTGGGTCCAGTCAGCTGAAGGCAGTCGATGACCAGGCAATATGAAAATTGTGATGAGGTAGAGATCTCAATGGATCTACCCGAATGCTCTTTTCTTGACCAATGATCAAGCTTATGAAAACTGCGTACACATCCACATTCCAGAATGATTCCATGCTACATGGAATGCTAATTTTCGATCCTAATTACAATGAGCAGAGCCACCTTTCCCTAACACCTAAAATTCCTTACTCTTCCTACTCAGCAAACTGCTTAAGTGAATGTCTTCTCTCTGTGTTTCATTGCCTGGCCAGTAAATAAGCTCAACGTTTCTCCTTTCAGTAGCTCTGGTGGCCTCTACCTCAGGCTTTGATGACAAAAGAGCCACCAATCTAACCTGATGCCCGCCTCCCCCAACGCCAGCGCTGAGCAGCTCCTGCAGGAAAGCCTGCTCTTCCAGCCCTTGTGCTCAGGACAGGTGCCCAGTGGTCCCTCAAGATCCTTTCTCAGCAGTAAATCCTAGCTGCTTTCACTGAGTCCTCACTAAGTTTATTTGGTTTAATTGAGGTCGTCTGAGGTTCCACAACTCATAACTTATTTTGTATTTCGATTTCTGGCCAGCCAACTTCCTTGAGCTTATGGAAACTTGAGCTGGGTGGAGTCGTCAAATTTGATTTACTGACTGTTTTGTTTCTCTTGAATATGACGGGAGAAGGGAAGCAACTACTTGTATCTTCTTGGCTTACCTTCACACGTATTAGGTCACTGTAATGGGTAAGCAGGTCTTTCAGCAGTAAAAGAAACTCCTGTGTCTGTCCTGAGTTAAGCACAGTGACTATGATTTTGACACAGGTAATACCTCCCACCCACCCTTTTAAGAACCAAGGCTTCTGATATGTAGGCTTAATACAGCCCTAACTTCTGTGCCTATATGTAAAATGGCAGACTTCTATTTATACTACATGTATTTCAGAATTATAGCAGCACCTTCAGAGAAATCTGAACTTCAACATAGTTTAAACATTTATATGGAGTGACAAAAGAAAAACAAAACTTCAATTCTCTCTTAGGCAATTTTTTAGTTGGTCACCAAATCTGCCATTCTGTGTATACACTAGGAATATTTAGCTTGAGAAGAAATTTTAACACAAAATATTATCAGGTTAATGAATTAGTTTATAAAGTATTTTAAATCTAAGGTGCTATTGTACTGATAGGTTTATAGAGACTAATGGGCTCTGACACAAGTTTAAAATTAAAAATAAACTCGAGAACAACCAAATTAAAAAAAAACTAGGCCAGGAGTGTTGGCTCACACCTATAATCCCAACACTTTGGGAGGTCGAGGTGAGTGGATCACCTGAGGTTGGGGGTTTGAGACCAGCCTGCCCAACATGGCGAAACCCTGTCTTTACTAAAAATACAAAAATTAGCTGGGCATGGTGGTACACACCTGTAATCCCGGCTACCTGGGAGGCTGAGGCAGACGCTTGAACCCGGGTGGCGGAAGTTGCAGTGAGCCGAGATCACACCACTGCAATCCTGCCTGGGCAATAGAGCAAGATGCTGTCTCATTTAAATAAAAAGAAAAAAAAAAAAAAAAGAAAAGAAAGAAAGAAATATGCCAGTTTCTGAAGAAAATCTTTCTTGCCGCAGCTGCAGCTCTGGCTCTGAAGAAGAAAGTTTAACTGTGGTATGAGCCAGGTGCCTTGGTTGTTCGGTCACACTATAAGAAAGAAATGTGAGGCACTCAGGGCTTTTCTAGTACAATATGTAAACAACCTTACTAGCTGGTATACAGCTAACTGTAAAGGGGGGAAATCAATATTTCAAAATAAGATAAAGCCTGTAAATGAGACAAATGTAATGTCTTCTCCCTTATTTTATCAGTGTAAATATAACATTAGCATAATATTCTAGTGATATAAAACTTGGTTCATATGAAACTCAAAGAAAGTTTAACTAAACTTCCAAGACTAATACATAGGTTCAGCATCCCCAATCTTCAAAGTTCCAAAATCTGAAAATCTTTAAGCACCAACATGCAGCCACAAGTAGAAAATTCCACATCTGATCTCAGGTGACTGGGTGCAGTCAAAACACAGGCACACGAACTCAGTTTATTCACCACCCTCAAGGAAAAATATAATTATCTTCAGGCTAAGTGTATAAGGTATACAACAATCATAAATGAAATTCCTGTTTAGACTTGGGTCTTATACCCAAGATACTTTATTATGTATATGGTAATATTCCAAATTGCAAACCAAACAAACAAAAACCCACAATCTGAAATACTTATGGTCCTAAGCATTTTGGATAAGGGATACTCAACCTATACTGATTTTAAACATCAGATAGGCTAACATTGCATTCATAAATATTTAAGATTAGGCATATATAGATATATGTGTCCAACTAATATCTTATAATTTACAGATAGTGCCAGAAATTATGTGAATCTACAATTACTTTACTCAAAGTAAATACCAGATACAGCATATTTTTCAGGCAATTTTTAACTTAAGACTGATAATGTTGTTTTTCAATATCTATGATCTCTATTAGGAAATCATTATAAGAATAAATACTAAGCCGGGTGTGGTGGCTCAAGCCTGTAATCCCAGCACTTTGGGAGGCCGAGGCGGGTGGATCACGAGGTCAAGAGATTGAGACCATCCTGGTCAACATGGTGAAACCCCGTCTCTACTAAAAGTACAAAACATTAGCTGGGCATGGTGGCGCGTGCCTGTAATCCCAGCTACTCAGGAGGCTGAGGCAGGAGAATTGCCTGAACCCAGGAGGCGGAGGTTGCGGTGAGCCGAGATCGCGCCATTGCACTCCAGCCTGGGTAACAAGAGTGAAACTCCGTCTCAAAAAAAAATAAATAAATAAGAATAAATACTGTTGTTAAAAAATTCAAAAACAAAACTATACAAAGTGTTCCCAAGCAATAATTTTTACTTGCATTTTTGCCTAATCTAATGAGATCAGCCTTATGTTATTTTAGAGACTGAAACATAAAATATTGCCCATCAACGTTATATATGCTTAAAGACATGTACAATTATTTAGTTTGCCAATAAACAGAAAGAGAGCTTAAACTTAACAATAAAAAAAAGGAACTATAACATGGTGTGTAATTTCTGTAGTCCATGTGCAAAATAACTAATTTTTGTCTTCTGTATACTCAACTTAGAAAATAAAAGCTCTATTTTTACTTGACAAGATTTTCAACTTCTCATTCTTTATTGTTTAAAGTTTTCAGAGATAGGATCTCTCTCTGTGGCCCAGGCTGAAATGTAGTGGTACAATTATAGTTCACGTAGCCCAAACTACTGGGCTCAAGAAATCCTCCCTCCTTAGCTTCCTGAGTAGCTGGGACTACAGGCACACACCACCTCATCCGGGTTATTTATAAAAATTTTTTTACAGGCAGGGTCTCACTATGTTGCCCAGCTGGTCTTGAACTCCTGGCCTCAAGTGATCCTCCTGCCTTGGTTTCCCTCGAATATAGGCGCAAGCCACAGCACCTGGCTTTAATTCTCATTCTTATGCTTCTGTGTTACCTCTTACCAAGCTCGTTAGTCAATTTAAATAACAAGGATTATTCACTTCAGGAGGGTATACAATTCTTCATAATTATGGTTAACTCCTGTTACTTTTTAAAAAACAAATTAATTTTTAAATTGACAAATAAAAATGTATATATTCATTGTGCACATTGTGAAATACATAGAAATTGTGACATGGCTCAATTGAGCTAATTAACATATGCATCACCTCACATACCTATCATTTTTTGTGTTGAGAACACCTAAAATCTACTCTCTTAGTGATTTTCAAAAATACATATAGTGTTGTTAACTGCAGTCATCACGTTATACAACAGATCTCTCGAACTTATTCCTTCTATGTGACAATCCTTTGACCACCATCTTCCCCCACAACCCCCAACCTTTAGTAACCACCATTCTATTCTCTGCCTCTATGAGTTCAACCTTTTTATATTGCACATATAAGTAAGATCGTGCGGTATTTGTCTTTCTGTGACTGGCTTATTTCACTTAACATAACATCCTCCAGGTTCATCCATGTTGTTACAAATGATTCTGTTACATTTATTGAATTAGCATTCTGATCACTGAAACAGCCAAGAAAATTCAATGCTTTTCTTGTAACTAGCCTATTTTGAGGATTCTGATATTGCCTGTCTTAAATCCAAGTCCCAAATATAGAATAATGAAACTGTTAAGATGTATTTTACATCTACAACTGTCTTCCTTCTGTTACACATATATTTTTGGTTTCCAAGACAGCTTCCTGGACAATCACAATGACTTGTTCCTTGGATTGCACAGCATTCTTTTTAAATTGCTCAACATCATTGTGAGAGCTGCTGTTTTTCTTTAATTTAAATCAAGGATTAAAAACAAGACTTTGGGAGGCCAAGGAGGGTGGATCGCCTGAAGTCAAGAGTTCGAAACCAGCATGACCAACATGGTGAAAACTGTCTCTACTGAAAATACAAAAAATTAGCTGGGCATGGTGGTGCATGTCTGTAATCCCAGCTACTCAAGAGTCTGGGGCAGGAGAATCACTTGAACACAGGAGGCAGAGGTTGCAGTGAGCTGAGATTGTGCCAGGCATTCCAGCCTGGGCAATAAGAGCAAAACTCCCATCTCAAAATAAATAAATAAATAAATAAAGAAAAATAAAAAATAAGAGACAAAAAACATAGGTTTCACTTTAAGACAATGACAGGTAAGCTGCTTGTTATTAATATAAATGTTTTGATAATTCTATACTTTTCAGGTTGAGAAAAACACATATTTGTGTAATGTACAAAGGTTAGGGTATATAGCATTTTCCCAGCCTCCACCTGCCAATTCTAGAATGAACACACAGGTCAGATAATGCCCCTACATCCTCTCCTTCTCTGTCCAACATCATCTCCATGTCCTTGGCTAGACCTACCTCTGTTGTCCTTTGAGAGGAAGATTTTTCTAAGATTCCCTCAAGCAGATAGACAGCTTATTACAGAGCGGGGTGAATGTCCTTGTTTTGTAACGTGGCTTCTACACCATTACCTACCATACTTCTTTTAGGATCATCCAGAGGCCTCCTGGTTTCACACACTGCCTTGAATATCTGATTACCTATCAGCCTCACATCCTCTCCACACCAATACCTATCAGCACTCTCAGGGTGCTCCACAGGGCTGAGCCCCTCCCTGGCTAAGACTCCAGCCTCTCAGTGACACTGACTTCACCTGTACTGTGAATGCTGTTCACAGAAACTGCACAATCTTCACATTCTCTCCAGTGCACATTCCCTTCTTTGACATAGCCTTTTCTTCTACCTTCCGGCTCACTTTGCTCAAGCATCATGGGCATGTTGGTTCCTGACCTTTTTTGGGGCTTCAATCCATGACCTTTCAGCTTATACACCAGTCCCTCATCTTTACTTCTTCATACAACTGAGATCCAATGGACTTATACATCCAACTGACCTTTTATGGAACTATATATTCAATGGAGAGTCTATGAAACCATCATGGTGCTCTCACAAGCATGCTGTTCTGGGCTGAGTTGTGTTCCCCCCAAATTCTTATGTTGAAGTTGTAACCCCTAATGTGACTGTATGTGGAGACAAGGATTTTAAAGAAGTAATTAAGGTTAAATGAGGTCATGAGGGTGTGCTCTAATCCAATGGGGCAGGTGTTCTTTTAAGAAGAGGAAGAGACAACAAGAATGTATAAGCATAGAGAAAGGGGCTATGTGAGGACACAGGGAGAAGGCAGCCATCCGTAAGTTCAGGAGTGAGGCCTCAGAGCAACCAAACCTGCTGACAACTTGATCTTGGACTCCTGGCCTCCAGAACTATATGTAAATGAATTTTTGTTGTTTAAGCAACTTAGTCCATGGTATTTTGCTACGGTGGCCCAAGGTGACTATAGGGGTTCAGTCAGGATGGTGGGAGAGATTGTAAAACTATAATAGTCACAAACCTTCTTGGGAGGCCGGAAGATTTTTGCAAAAGCCTTAGGAAGGGAATTATGGCTGAAGGTAGCCTAATCCCCTTTTCCTGTGCAAATGACATAGAGTACATACAAAGGAATGTAAGGGAGTTTATCTATATAAGTTGTTTACTCATGTGATCCTAAAACTAACCTTTAATCATTTGCAGGCCAGATGGCTCTCTCAGGGGGAGGGCAACCAGGTTTGGTCTTTGCTTTAGGCCTCAGAACCTGGCCTTTAATCATTATCCACAGGTGTGTTGACTCAGAGTGTCTGTTATTAAATATATACTGAATAAATGCCTGGAGTGCCAGCTGACCGGGGCCAGTGGCTGCTAACTCTCTCTACAACGTCTGTGGCCACGTATTCCTAGCCCACTCTTTCACTGTGTTCTGTGTTTGAGTGTATTTACTCATCTGTCACTGGGCCAGGATCTGCAGGTTGGACCCCAACAGGTGACTAATACAGATGCTTTACTTCCTTTGCCCTGACCTCCCTTCTTTCCTAGCACTGTAGTAAAACACCTACTCATCTGCCTCATAGTCAACCCCTGAACAAGTCTCATGAAATTTATCAGTTATTAAGTAAACATGAAAGGCTAAAGTCCCTATTAAAAGTCAACACCATTTGGTTTGACAGCAAATGCAACACCAGCTACATGCTGCTGCTTAAAAGCAAAACACCCAAATGACATTGTTTTTATTTTAAAAGGATGAACAATAAAATACCAAAAATACGCACAAAAAAGTGTCATGCTAAGACTAATAAGAAATAAAGAGGACATTAAAGGAAAGAATATCACATGGAACTACGAGAATTTCAGTATGAAAAACTTCATTAATGAATATTATCATGAACCTTTATATACCTAATAGTACAATAAAGTGAAATATAACACAAAAACTTAGAAATAAATGAAGAACTTGATATAAATTACAATGACTGTGGAGACCCTTAGGATTCCTTCTAACAGATGAACAGTAAGGAAATAAGCAAGGTGAAAAATAGAAACAATTTATATTACATATGTTTTAGTACCTCAATTCAAAGACAGAATTAATGAATTTTATAAAAACAAGAGGAAAAAATTTCCTACCTAGAAAAAGATAATATATACTTCTGTGCATGAAAAATTTATAAAATTGTCAAAAGAATTTAAAAAATTAAAACACATATGTAATTTCTTGAAGTTATCTATGCCTCTGTCATTTAAAAATAATGCAAAGTAGGATGAAAAATTCTCAGCAGCCCCTTTTCCAACCCTCCCCAATTCTATCCCCACAGAGGTAACCATTAACAATGGTAAATAACAACAGACTTCTATGTTCACATAAACATAGGGATATATACTCTTTCACACCCTTCTCTTTATTTAACAAAAAACTAAACTGCGTAATATACAAAGTCCTGTAACTTTTTCACTTAATAAGGTATTCAGTGTCTGATTTAAAGAAGATAAAGAAAAATTTGATTATAATTAGTGAATAGAGAGGAAATCTCACAACAAGGAAAAGTGTAGTAAAATTAAATGGAAACTGCAGAACTGAAAAAAAGTGAAATGAAGGATTCACTGGTCAGAGCTTAGCATATGGAAATGACAAATGAGACAGTACACTTGAAGATGGACCAAGAGAAATCATCCAATCTAAAGAACAGGGAGAGAAAAAGATTTAAAAATATGGAAAGGATCAATAACCTGTGGGATTATATAAAAAGGACTTATATACATGTACCTGTAGTCCCAAAAGTGGACAGAGAGAATCTGGCAGATAAAAACATGTAAAGGAAGAATGTACTTAAGGCAGTCACATCACAGTGGAACTGCTGAAGATCAAAAGTACAGAAAAAAGTAGTCAAGGAAGCAAAGCTAAATTATGTTCAATGGTGACTTCTCCATTAGAAACAACGGCAGGCAGAACAATGGAATGTTATCTTTCAAGTGCTGAAAAAATAACCAATGTAGAATTCTATATCTAGTGAAGACACACTTCAAGAATGAAGGTAAAATAAAGACACTTTCAGAAGGAATAGAGAATATTGTAACACAAGAAATGCCAAATAAAGTCCTTAAAGTTCAAGAAAAATAATACCAAAGGCAAACTCAGGTTTAAAAAAAAACCAGAAAATGATAAATTACCTGGATGAGTTAAAGACTATTTTTTCTCTTAATTAAAAAAATACATGGTAGAAAATAAATACGTATGAGTATTTATAAAACAAACATTTTAATATTGTAATAAGGAGTATATAATACAAATAACAAATATAGCATAAAGGATGTTGGGAGGAAGGGGTGACTGGAACTATGCAATTGCAATGCTCTTACATTTTATATTTTGCTCAGATTAAATATTAATAGAATATACAAAGTTAATGTATTGTACTCCCTTAGAGCACAGGCTAGCAAATTTTTTCTTAAAGATAGTCAATAGTTCAGGCTTTGATGGTTAAGAGGCCAAATTAAGGATTTTATATAGTTATATAACATTATAAAATATAAAAGCCATTCTTGAATAGCTCACAGTTTTTTTAGAATTCCATTTCAATTTCTCTATTGACTTTTTAGATTTCTTCCTCCCACTGGACTTGCCTTTTTTCTTTAGGTCACAGTTGTTTCCATATTCTTGATGATCTTTTTTAAAAACAATAACAAGAGAAAGAAGCCCATAAATATGTCAGAGAACTGAGTGAGCCAGAGAGGAGAAACCCAGTGGGAGGAAGGAGACAAGAGACCCACCAGGAAAGACCCATCCATACTCAAATGAAGATGGAGATCTGGAAGGAGGCCATGTCAGGCAATCTAAACAGAAGCCCAGGAGGTCAGGGGAACAGCTTCCCTCCCAGCACCTGAGCAATACCTCCTCTCCCCCAGTCCTCTGAGCTGCTGAGCTGCTGTCTCATTTGCCCAGGGTTTTCCCACTCACCTGGACAGGTGGCTGGTGGGCATTTTTTCTCCTCTCTCCAGGTCTCTTTCCCTTGCTCCAGTTGGGTGATGATTTCTGGTTTAGAAAATGAAATTCCTGCTCACAGGAAAAGAAAATAACGTCACTAGATTATGGGCTCAAGCGCCCATTCAATAATTCAGAGCCAAACTGGCTAGGAAACTTCAAAGGTAGTACAAAGCCCTGAGATGGAAGGGGTGAGTGGGGTTCTCAGAAATGGAAGGGATGAGTGGGCAGTGAACTCAGACGAGAGCACACTGATTCTATTCCATGCTAGGTAGATGAACATCTCTCTCATTTAAAACGATTTAACACAGGAAGAGAGCCCCAGCCTGAGAAAAAAGGACTAGAAATGCAGAGTGGCACACCCATATACACATGTACACACACAACAAATCTACCCATTTTCACCTCTGCAAAATCAGACCCTCCCTGGGGAAACAGAAATAGAATGTGGTTGCTTTTTAGTCCAACCCAAAGGTCAAGTCACAGAGTAAGATGGCTGCTTCAAGCATAGCCTAAAATTCTCACCAATAAAAATGAGAATCCAACAGATACCATGCTTACCCAGTGAGACCAGGTTGCTGTAGTTCTCCAGCATCACCTCTCTGTACAGAGTCCTTTGAGCAGGGCTCAGCAGCCTCCACTCATCCTGGGTGAAATCTACAGCCACATCCCTGAATGCCATGTGTGCCTGTAACACAAAACCAAGCCCTGCTCACTCAGAAGCCAGCCATGCCCATGGCAGGGTGAGGGGCAGGGAGAAGGCTGCCCTGAGGGAGGCAGGTGAGATACCAAGACCCCTACCTTTGACAGTGACCCTGGTGCCATGGTTCCAAGACTTTTAAATCTGTCTCTATCTAGGCAGTGGCATTTATGAGCCTATACAGTCAAGGTTCTGGGGGGCCATACAGGGTATATGTGCAAAAAAAATGGAGTCTCTACATTTTGGGAACTTTCAATCTACACAGACAGAAGAGCAAGCAACACATAAAATTTAAGCAACAATAAAGGATAACAGGTTTTCTGAGTTTTAAGAATTTAAAAGATCAAATAGTCCACTACAACTCAGTAATTCCTCAAAATCCTATGGCTTGGCTTTCTTGGGCCTGATGGTCACAAGCAGAGAGTAGCGAAGCACCGGAAATATAGTGCCTGGGTATGAGACCCACCTCTGCCACCAAATAGTATCCCAGTTTTCTTACCTGTGAAATGTGGAGAACAGTTCATTAAACTTCAGGCCACAGACTGTGAGTACTCACCATGGAGCTTCTTGGCCATTCAGTCCAAAAATTCATCTTTGCACCTTGTTCTCATGCCCCTGCCAGTCTTATTCTTTTAATTTTCTTAGCATGGAAAATTTTCTTAGCACAGAAAATTAAAAGAATAAGACTGGCAGGGGCATGAGAAAACCCTTTCTAATCTCTGTTCTGAAAACCTGGAATAGAGATTAGAAAGGGTTTTCTAAGACAGGGCCTGACAACTTGGTCTTGGAAAATGGGTTGAAATCAAGGGAAGACGAAAGTGCTAGGCACTACAGATGAGGCATGTGGGGCACAGGGATAAGGACATTATGAGCGAAGGAAGACAGGAAGCCAGAATGTGGACAGGGAGGCCCCCAAGGAGGAATAAAAGCTACCTCCTGGTAGAATCCAGAACTTTTTCATCATCTCACATCGAAACACTGTAACTATTCAACAGTAACTTCCCATTCTTCCCTCCCCCTAGATCCTAGTAATGACCATTTTGCTTTCTGTCTCCACTATACATGTGGTTATTCTATGTAGCTAAAATAAGTGTAATCACATATGTCTTTTTGTGTCTGACTTATTTCACTTAGCATGTCTGCAAGATTTATCCATGTAAAGTATGCACTCAGCATTTACTTCCTTGTTAAGGCAAATAATACTAATACTCCATTGTGTGTATATACTACATTTTGTTTATCTATGCATCTACTAATGGACATTTGGTTTGTTTCTATCTTCTGACTATTCTTCCATGTACATGGTTGTATAAGTATTTGGTGGAGTCCCATCAGTTCTCTTGGGTATACACTGAAAAGTGGAATTACTGGATCAAACAGCAATTCTATAGGAACCACCATACTGTTTTCCACAGCAGCTGTACCATTTGCATTCCCACCAGCAATACACAAGGGTTCTATTTTCTCCACATCCCTGTCAACACTTACTGCTTTCAGGTTTTGGGGTTTTTAAAAGTAATAGCCATACTAATGGGTATAAGGTGGCATCTCATTGTGGTCTTCATTTGCATTTTCCTAATGTGAATGACAGTGAACATCTTTTCAGGTGATTATTGGCCACCTGTATATCTGCAAAAATAACTATTCAAATGCTTTGTCCATTTTTAAGTTGGGGTGTTCTTTCATTGTTGTAAGTTGTAGGAGTTCTTCATAAATTCTAAATATTAATCCCTTATCAGATATGTGACTTGCAAACATATTCCCTTCCTTTGATTAATGAAAGTTTTAAATTTTGATGAAGTCCAAGTTCTCTATTCTTTTCTTTTATTGACTATGTTTTGGTGTCATTTCCAAGAGATCATCACCAAATCCAATGTTATAAAGATGTTCCCCTACGTTTTCATCTACAAATTTTATAGTTTTCATTCTTATGTTTAGGTCTTTGATCCTAAACAGTTAATTTGCATATATAGTGTTAGGTAAGGATTCAGCTTCATTTTTCTGCATATAAATATACAGTTTGCCAAACAGTATTTGTAGAGTATATTGTCTTTTTCATATTGAGTGGTCTTGGCACTCTTGTCAAAAAGCATTTGACCATATATACAAGGGTTTATTTCTGGGCTCGCTATAAGACTTGTAAGTCTATTTTTATGCCAGTACCATGGTTTGGGTTGCTGTTGCTTTGTAGTAAATTTTGAAATCAGGAATGGTAAGTCCCCCCAACTTGGTTCTTTTTCATGGTTGTTTTAGGTATTTAGTGTCCCTTGAGATTCTATATCAAGTTTAAGACGAATTTTTCTATTTTTCATATAGAACTGTATAATGTCCTTTTATTTCAACCTGAAAGACTCATTAATATTTCTTGTAGGTCTAGTGGTTGTCATCTCCACCAGCTTTGACTAATCTGAGAATGTCTTAATTCTGCCTCAGTAGTCAAGGGCAGTTTTGCCAGATATAGAATTCTTGGTTGGCAGGCTTTTATTTTTTCTTTTAGCACTTTGAATACATCAACCCACTGCCTTCTCGCCTGAGAGGTTTTGCATAAGAAATTTGCTAACAATCTTATTGATAATCCCTTATATGTAACAAGTTGCTTTTTTCTTGTTGCTTTCAAAAATCTCTGTCACCTTTGGGTTTTTATGCTTTGATTACATTGTGTCTCAGTGTGGGTCTTTTTCAGGTTTTCCCACTTGTAGTTCATTGAGCTGCTTGGATATTTATAGTCAAGTTTATAGTCAAGTCTTTCATCAAACTTGGGAAGTTCTCAGCCATTATTTCTTCAAACAATCTCTCTGTCCCTTTCTCCTCTTCTCCTTCTGGGACTCCCATAAGGCAAAGCTGATTCATTTGATAGTATCCCATAGTTTCCTTAGGCTCTGTTCACTTTTCTTTAATCTGTCTGTGTCCCTCAGACTTGATAATTGTCCTGTCTCCTGGTTTGCTGATTCTTCTGTCTGCCTAAACCACTTCTGAATCTCTCTAATGAACTTTTCTTTTCAGTTGTACTTTTTAACTCCAAAATTTATTTTTGGTTTATTTTTATGTTTTCTGTTCCTTTACTTATGTTTCCAGTTTGTTCTTACATTGTTTTCTTGGCTTTCTCCACACCTTCTTTTAGCTCTTTAAGATGGCTATTTTAAAGCCTTTGTTTAGTAAGTCCATTATCTGGCTTGTTTTCAGTTTATTCATTTTTTCCCTTTGAATGTTCCATACTTTCCTAATTGCCTTATGATTTTTGTCAAAAACTGGACATTTAAATCTTATAAACCAGCAACTCTGTAAGTCAGAGTCTCCCTTTTGTTTGTATTTTTGTTTTTTTATATTGATGTAGGGTGTCTCCATGCTAAGTATCAGCCTGAGTTGTAAGCTTAAGGTCTTCTCAGGTGTTTTCTGAGCCTGTGCCTTTCCATAGGTATTCCTTCTACATTCCCTCTATATGCAGTTGCTTTTCATTACACTAGTCCTGAAATATTTGGCTCTCAAAGGAGGGAAAAGAGAACTTCAGTGGGGGAAAACAGACTCTGGCTCCTTAAATTCCCTAAAAGCCACTTTAGCTAATGAGGGTTACAACTAGCTGACATAGCTTTTAGGGGATTTAAGTGGACCACCTCTGTGATCAGAAACAGCAATCAGAACACAGATACTCAATATTTGGAGTAAAGGGCCCTTATTGTCCACTGGGTATCCCACAAACCATGTAGAAGCTGATCCAGGGATATATGCCAGCTACCTGCCACAGGGCTGGCAGGGTGGATGATAAGTATCTGCTACTATACTAAGAGCTAAAATTCACTGTGACTTACCTCTATGCCTCCCTCTGGGAGCTGGAGGCCTTCAACTAGACTCCAGATTTCCAAAATAGGTACACCTGACAGATTCTGCCAGCATAACTGTTGTCTAGGTGGGGACACAGATTCCAGAATCATCCCATTCCATTACTATGATGTTACTCTCAGGCAGTAGAACTTTTGAAGCTGAACAAAGAAATGCAGACTCTATCGCAAACTGTAGAAATGTGTTGTTCAGTTAACTACTAGGTGAATAACTGTTTCATGTGTTGTGTGGACAGCGATGCTGAGGCAGGGAAGCAAGTAAGAGGAATTGGAGCTGAACTCTACTAGGCACCAACAGGCCAGTCAGGGTAAAAGAAGGCCATGTGTCCATCCCGTTACAGCCAGTAATGGAGACAGGAAACACTCACCATTCCCCTGGCTCTCCAGGACCCTGTGGCCTTTTTTCCTTGTCTCCCTAAAGAAGGATGATATCTCAGAAGGTAGATCTGGGTAAGGAAAACAGAAATGAGAGGGTGTCAGGTGGAAATGCTCTTTCCATGAGTGAAGCAGGGCCTGCTCATTAACCCCACAACTGGGGGAGCAGCAGCATAATGGGGAATGTATAAATCAAAGAAAAGATACTGGGGAGTTACTGCCTAACTGGTATGGAGTTTCAGTTTGGGAAGATGAAAACATTTCTGAAGATAGATAGTAGGGATGGTCGTGCAACAATATGAATGTACTTCATGCCATTGACTTGGACACTTCAGAATGATAAATTTTATGTTATATATACTTACTACAAAAAAAAAAAGGTCTGGCCAAAAATCATCATTCAAAGCAAGACATAACAGGGGAAACTTAGCAAAAAGACTGATGATGAGCTTTTAATACACATAATTGTAAGCCTAGCACTAAAAGGGGGAGAAGAGAGAGAGAAAGAAAACAAATGCTAATGTTTTAGGGTAGTGTGTCCTGATAAGGTAGAAATGTCACTGAAATACAAGACACAGGGGAAAAAGAAAGTAGAAAAAGGTTTCTGATCATACCATAGGCAACAGGTAGGAATTAAAGGGAATACACAAAATAAAATTATAGAATTGCTTTAAAATAACGGTAATAAAAGAATCTGGCTTGGACAACACAGTGAGACTTCATCTCTACC